CTCAAATGGGGCATAGGTGGGCTCTGAGTTGGGGGTGCTTTAGGGAGATGAGTTAGGGAACTGGCTTTCTGGCCCCAGGTGCCCCAAATGCCAGAATGAGAAGACCTTTAATCTGAGGCACCAAAATTCGTAAAGAAGCTCTAGCTTTCTCCACAAGATTTGTTCTCTTCCATTAGGGAAGAGTGGTCTGTTTTTTCTTCTGCCTGAAATCTGTGCTGGGTACAGTGGGCTGGAGGTGTCAAGGGATCAAGAGGTGCAGCTGATCCCCATCAGACTTCCAGTCTATGGTGTCCCTCTCCCCCAGCCTCGGCGTCTTGGTGGAGTAAATGGGCTTCCAAGCCTCAGGGCCCCTGTGGTGGGTTCTTGGTGCTTTCTCTGCCTGGCTCATTTGTCCATATCTTGTCTCATCTCCTTTCTGCCTTCCAGAAACATGTAGAGATCTCTCATCTGCTGTTGACCTTGCCTCCCATTCTCTTCGCCTTTGTGGTTTATTCTTTTTTTTTTTTACTTTCATTTTGGTGAGATCTTGGGAGGAATTAGGAGAAATGGAGAGGCCAATGCTTGTGCTCAGTCTTGAACCAGAAGTCCCTAGACCTCTATTTTCAGTGAACACAATCAAGATTATAAAAGGATGACCAACATATGAGAAAATAAAATTTTCACATTATAGCCAGCAGTGGAAAAGCACTTACAAAACCTTAAGAGCATGTTTGCTTACAAGTTTTTCTAAGTGCAACTGAAGTGACAGCTGGTCAAGTTTCTCATACCAGATTCTCAACATGCAACAATATTTTTAAAAGTTCCAATGCTTTGAGGCTTATTATTTGCTTTATGAAGGAATTATTCTTGCAAAAAGATCAACCATGACATTTTTCCAAATTGTCCACTAGGTCATTTGGATTATGATTTTCTTTTCTGAACTCTGTGTGGATATATACATATTCACACAACTTTTTAGCGTGAAGTGAGATACTTTTTTCCTCTGGATATTAAAAATTCAATACTTGGAAAATAATACAGAGTTTTACTTTTTAATTTCATTCATTTTGATGATCTTGTCACAAGACTTCTCACTTCAATATATGATGACTTTAGAGCTTTGATTTAATGATGTCTTTCCTGTTATTTATCTTATAATATTTCTTATAATATGGTAGTATAGCTATTTTATTTTATAAGTGTCTGTGGGACAGGTGCACCAACTCTCTTTAGCCAGCAAATAATGCCATGTATAGATTGAGTACAGCAGAGCTCTCAATCCATTTTGCTTTCAACTTTTATGAGAAATGGGTAAATGACCAGAACCAAAAATACAAGCCACTAGTGTCAGGAACTTAATTTTTAAATTTCACTTTCAGAGTCTGTCCTGAAGCTGATTTATAGCCAACACAATCTCCTACACAGTTTTATCTACATTGGACATCTCTGGACAATGGTAATTGATGTAGATATTTATGATTATTTGTTTGGTTGCAAGGAAGAGAAACCTACTGCGGTCACCTCCAGAAAGCTGTGGTTTCTGATGAGGATGCTTATGAAAAAAAACTGAACTTGGAGGGTTCAGGTTCTGAGGCAGTTCTGGGGGCCAGTCTGGTTTTTTTTTTTTTTGTCTTGGTTTCTTTCTGAGTGTCTGCTCAGTTCTTCTCTGTCAGCCAGCTCCCCCCCCACCCTTTAAATGTTTCCTTCCCCTTCATAATTTTCACTTGCAAATGGTTTTGGCTTATCCTGGGCCCGACATAATCCTGTGGCATTCCTGGCCCCACTGCCAACTTTTTCCTTTGTCTCCTGAGTCTACGTTGAACAGAGAAGAAGCTGACATTGAACAGAGAGGAAGGGACCCTGTTCTCTTTTGGAACTAGGTTCTGAGTACCTGACCAGCCAATGGATTATTTGTTCTTGGGTCAGGTGTCCATCTCTGATCCAATCAACTGTGGCCTGGGGTTGGGGTGGGGACATGTAGGCAAGAACCTGATTGCTTAGGCAACAGGACAGATTCTCTTGGAAGGGGGTATGGGCAAGTCAAACAATGATTGTCATCTTTAACACAAGGACCTTAAGGCATGTTTCAGGATTCTGAATCATCATCATCATCATCATCAACACACGAGTGTGTACGTGCGCGCGCGTGCACACACACACACACACACACTGTTATATTCTGTATACCATAATTAACCAGGTAACAATGCCTGCTAGTACATTTCAGAAGGAAATTTTCTACAAGAGTTGACAGGTGGTTCTTTTTTTTTTTTTTTTAAAGATTTTATTTATTTTATTTTTCCCCCCAAAGCCCCAGTGGATAGTTGTGTGTCGTAGCTGCACATCCTTCTAGTTGCTGTATGTGGGACTCGGCCTCAGGATGAACGGAGAAGTGGTGCCTCGATGCGCACCCGGGATCCGAACCCGGGCCACCAGCATCGCAGCGCGTGCACTTAACCGCCAAGCCACAGGGCCGGCCCCGACAGGTGGTTCTGAAACACCATTTTTCGTGATTTCCCTTTTCCCTCTCTGACTCTTCCTTCTCAGTCATTTTTGTGGGCTTTTGTTCCTTTGCCTACCTTGTTAACCATCAGTGTTATCCAGAGGGTCTATCAGCTATACAAACTCTGAAATATCTCATCCACTCTCCTGCATTTTTATTGAATAAATGAATGAATGAATGATGACTCTTAAATCTTGACCTCAATTTCTGACATCTGCTAGCTTCAGATATTATCCAGATGCCTGCTAAGATGTCCTACAGGTACCTTAAATTTGTAAATAAATTTGAATTTTCTTCTTTCTCTTTCTACCCGCTTCCTCCACCTGCCCTTCCTGTCCTCCCCTGACCCCCATTCTCTGTGCAGGCTGATGGTATCATCACATTTTCAGTCTCCTGAGCCAGAAAAGTAGGAATTTCCTTTTCTTTCACTTTTCTGATCTAATCTGTTACCGAATTCCAGCCTATTCTGCTTCCTAAATATTTATAGAATCTGTTCTGACCACTCCACCCCTGTTAGTACTGCTTCAGTTCAGGCTCTGTATGCTGAGGTTAAGAGCATGGGCTTTGCAGCCAGGCAGACCTGGGTTTAAGTCCTGGCTCTCACATTCATTGGCTTTCGAACCCCAGACAAGTTACTCAACCCCTCTAAACCACCAGTTCTCAAACTTGGCTGCACATGAGGACCACCTGGGGAGCTCTAAAAAAAATACTAATGCTTGGTCCAACTCCCAGGATTCTCATTTCATTGGAATGGAGCGAGGCCTGAGCATTGGGAATTTTAAAAGCCTCCCCAAGGGATACCAAGGTGGAGCCAAGTTTGAAAAGCACTGCTGTAAACCACAGCTCTCTCATCTGTAATATAGGGTAACGACCTCGTGGGGGTCATGGTGAGGGAGTAGTCAGTAAAATAATGCATGTATGGCCTGGCATGTGGTAAGCATGCTAGTTATTGTTAGGCAACGCCTATCATCTCTCCCCAGGACTTTTGCAGTAGCCTCTACATGCATTCCCTGCCTTAAGTCTTACTAGTCTCCACTCTGATCCCAGATGGTAATAGCTAGAAAGCAAATCTGATCATGTCATTTCCTGCTTAAAACCCTTCAGTGAGTCCCCTGCTCTACTGGATAAAGCCCACGCCACTTACTGTGCCTTCATGATTTTGCTCTTGCTTACTCTATTAGCTGTCTCCCTTAGCTGTCTCCCTGCCTTTCAACAATGGCACTACCTACAGTTTATGCACAAAACCTCACTGTCTGTCACCCGCCTGCCTTTGCTCACGTGATCCTTCTGCTTGGAAAGTTCTCTTTGCCACTCCCTCCCATTTGGCCCCCACCCCCATCCCTCTCTTCTTCTTCTGGCTAATTCTTATTCATCCTTCGTCTTTCAAGACTGAACTCAGATATCCTCTTCTTTGGGACGTCTTCCCTGACTCCTCCGTGCGGACCTTGCTCTTACTGTAACATGTTGAGTTGTAGTTTGTGTCTCTCTCCCACTAGACTCTTTGAGGACAGGGCTTATTCTCTCAGTATAAAGCCTGAAAAATCAAAGTCCTCAAATTTTATTGAAATGAAACAGGGTCAATGCAAAACTTGCTGTGTCTGTGAAGCCATATTTATATCTACTTTAGCCCAAATTTATTTCATCGTCCTCTGTATTCCTAAAGCACTTGGGAATTGTTTCATCTCTAATCAGTGGGTTGTAAGCAACTTAAGGACCAAAATCTTGTCTTTATTTTTTATAAGTTCCCCAAAGCACCAGCACAGTAGTTTACTCATAGTATTGCTTAAAAACATTCATCAGTTGCTGGAAGCAAATAAGGTTTGGAGGAACTCATTCAAGGATCATGGGTAAAAACATTAAATGGAAAAATCTATTTTAAAAAACTTAGACCTGTGTTGCCCAGTACAGTAACTACTGACCACATTTGGTTATTGAAATGTGGCAGGTGAAATTATGGAAATGAACTTTAAGTTTTATTTAATTTTGATTAAAGTTTAAAAACTGATAATTGTTGGAAAAATTTTAAGTATGTTTGGAACAACTTAGATATGTGAATCTACTTTTTTAACTGTAAACTTCACAGAATCTAAATACAGATCAAGGGTTTCCAATGAAAAGTTAGTACCTGAATTGAGATGTGCTGTAAGTATAAAATAAACACTGGATTTCAAAGACGTAGGTATAATAAAAAGAATGCAAAACATATCATTAATAATTTCATATTGATTATATGTTGTAATGATAGTATTTTGGATATATTGGCTTAACTAAAACATATTGCTAAAATTAATTTTACCTGATTTTACTACTAGAAAATTTAAAATTAATATGCAACTTGAATTGTATTTCTGTTGGACAGAGCTGATCCATTCCAATACAAGGCTTTGCTTTTTGATAATCATTATGATGATAGGATTTCAACCCTGTCATCGTCTGAGACAGTTTTCAGTGACTAGGGGTGAGTGATTTACAGAGACTTAATGGAATTATCACTTTTGAACTCTTTCTGTCAATGCAGATCAAAATCCACCTTCTCAGCCCAAGGAGAATAGCATTGGCCAGAACCATCACCAGGAGGAAGTAATCCGCAAGATGGCCAGGCAACTGAGAAACATTGGAGACAGCATTGATCATAGGATGGTTCAAGAGGTGAGACTTCAATTTCCCCAGCAAAGGCCTGTCAGGTAGGAGGAAAGAGCAAACAGAGCAACGGCTGCCAAGTGGCTGGGATGCCCAGGAATTAGCAGAACACATGGATTAATAATGTCCGGATTACCAAACATTAGATCTGAAAATTGTGAACCTGAGTCAAAGCCAGTATTTGATCTCACACTTGCTACTCAAACCGTGGTCCATGGACTAGCAGCATCAGCATCATTTGCCGGCTGGTTAGATGTGCAAAATTTCAGGTCCCAGCCCACGATGCTGGAATCAGTATCGCCTGTTTACACACACCCCAGAGGATTTGTGTGCACATTACAGTGTGAGAAACTTTGCTCCACACCCTCAACTAGGATGCATATTAGAATCACCTGTGAAGTTGTAAGAACTACAGATGCCTGGGCCCCACCTTGAGAGATTCTGATTTAATTGGCATGAGGTGTGGCCTGCGCATCAGGCATTTTAAAAGCTTCCCAGGTGAATCTAATGCTCAGTCAGGGAGGAGAAACTCTGCCTAAGATTGTGGTTGTCCTCCTGAACCAACCCAGAAGTTGTGATCTAAGCCCCACTCCCACCAATTTGTTAGTTTCTCCTGATTATTATAAAAGAAGGGAAAACGGGAAATAATAATTACTGTTTGAAATCTTAGGGGTGATGAAATCCACAGCCAACTTAGTTTTCCTCCAGAACAACCTGTAGTTGGCAGCAGAGGGAGACTGATCCCTTGGGGCTCTGTGGTCGGAAGGGTGGCTGCCCCTCAGAGCCTAACTTCTTGCCCTTAAATTCACGTGTCCTGTGATGATTTCTTGTTCATCACTGATGCTGCCACCATGTGGGCTTCAGGAGTGCCATATCCTTTTCACACTCTGGTCCAAATGTGGACAGCCTCTCCCTCAAACAGTACATTCCCTGAGATAAAACATGAATGGAAGGTCCCAATAACAATGCTACTAAAAGGAAACAGGAAATAAACACAAGTAAAATATTTGATATAGCAATTTCATTCAAACAAATATTTATTGAGTGCCTACTATACACCAGACTCAGTTCCAGGCTTTGGTAGCTGGAGCAGAGAGCAGGACAGAGATGAGCCTGCTCTCAGAGAACTCATAATCCAGGAAGGAGACAGATGAACCAATAAACAGTCTAGTCAGACAGGGATTAGAGGACACCGAGTGATGGAGAGCGACTTGGATGGGCGATCAGGGGAGGCCTCTCTGGGGAGGTGATATTTGAGCAGAGACTGGAAGTGAGGGAGCAAGCCACGGGAACACCTATGGGGAAAGTGTTCCAGGCAGAGGGAACAGCAAGTGTAAGGCCCTTGTGACAGGAACAGGCTTAAGGAAGAGCGAAGAGGCCAGAATGGCTGGAGCGGAGTGAGGTGAGGTCTGGGAGTTGGCCTTGGCCTTTGACGCAGTGGTAAGGTGTTTGGGTTTTACCCTAAATAGGAGGGAAGCTTCTGGAGAAGGAGAGCAAGAGAGTGCTGTGAGCTGATTTGCATTTGGAATGGAAACTGGCTTCGTGCAGAGAGTAGGCTGTTGTCAAAATTAAATGAGAGAATCTATGTAAATCACTTAGAACAGAGCCTGACCCACAGAAAATGTTCAATAAATGTTATCTGAATCAAATGATTAGTTTTTGTCTTTGCCCTTTCGATATCTGGGGTTGAACACCTCTTTGCTCTGTGTCCTTTATTCCAGCATACTCATGATAGTCACCCTCCTCCTGTGCTGTAGTTTCTTCCATAGGAAAGCTTTTACTGATGACTATACTTGGATTCTAGGAAAGTCCTTAGTTCAGCTTCCCTGCTTCTCTATCAGCTAATTCTCTGAATACTCATGGTTCCTTCTAATTTTTTTTCTCTGAAGAGGAGAGAACGGAGTAGGACAAATCATAACCACCTATTTTCTACGTCTGCCTCAACCCAGTCAAGAGGTCACTGCTCTACGTAACCTCCTTTTCCATTTTTCTCTTTTTCTTTCTTTCCCTTACCTTTTAGGTTGTAATTTACTTTTACTTAAATTTACCTCTGCAGCTTAATAAATTGACACTGAACTGTCCCAGCTTTTCTTTCTTTCTTTTTTTTAAATAACTACTGAGAAATAAAATTCACATACTATTGAGAAATGAAATTCACATACCATACAAATAAAATTCACAATCATTTAAACTGTACAATTAATGGTATTTAGTATATTCACAGAGTTGTACAACCATCATCACAATCAATTGTAGAATATTTTCATCACCCCAGAAAGACACCCCAAACCCAATAGTCACTTCTCATTTCTTCCCAGCCCCACTAATCTACTTTCTGTCTCTATGGATTTGCCTATTCTGGACATTTCATCTAAGTGGACTAATATAATACGTGGCCTTTTGTGTCTGGCTTCTTTCACTTAGCATAATGTTTTTTTTCAAGGTTCATCCATGTGTTACCATATCTCAGCCATCTGCTCTCCTCACTGTGGTTTCCTGTAAACTGAAGGTAACATCTTAGGCTTGCTCCGGGCAGGGTTGTAGTTAATATCTTATGGGGCCTGGGGCTGGGTAACACATGTTGTAGCATGTATCAGTACCTCATTTCTTTTTATTGCTGAATAATATTCCATTGTATGTATATATCACATTTTGTTTATGCATTCATTAGTTGATGGACATTTGGGTTGTTTCCCTTTTTTGACTATTATGAATAATGATGCTGTGAACATTTGTGTAGAAGTTTTTGTGTAGACATATGTTTTTAATTCTTTTGTGTGCATCCCTAGGGGTGGAATTGCCAGGTCATATGACAACTCTATGTTTAACTTTTTGAGGAACTCCCAGACTGTTTTCTAAAGTGGCTGCACCGCTTTACATTGTGGCCCACCAGCAGTGAATGAGGGTTCCGGTTTCTCTACATCCTTGCCAACATTTGTTGTTAATTGTCTTGTTGATTATACTAGCCTAATGGGTGTGAAGTGGTATCTCATTGTGGCTTTGATTTGCATATCGCTGATGGCTAGTGTTGTACATCTTTTCATGTGCTTATTTGTATATCTCTTCAGAGAAACGTCTATTCAGATCCTTTGCCCATTTTTAAATTGGGGTATTTGTCTTTTTATTATTGAGTTGTAGATGTTCTTTATGTCTTCTAGATGTAAGTTCCTTTTCAGATATATTATTTGCAAATATTTTGTCCCATTCTGTAGGTTGTCGTTGCACTTTCTTGATGGTGTTCTTTAAGGCACAAAAGTTTTTAATTCCCATGAAGCTCAATTTATCTACAGGCATGTGTTGCTTAGCCATGGGGATATGTTCTGAGAAATGTGTCATTAGGTGGTTTCATCATTGTGGGAACATCACAGAGCGTACGTACACAAACCTAGATGGTATAGCCTACTACACACGTAGGCTATATGGTATATAGCCTAGGAGCCTAGGAGCCTATTGCTCCTAGGCTACAAACCTGTGCAGCAGGTTACTGTACTGAATACTGTAGGCAGTTGTAACACAATGGTATTTGTGTATCTAAACATAGAAAAGCTACAGTAGAAAAACAGTATAAAAGATAAAACTCTGTATAGGGCACTCACCGTAAATGGAGCTTGCAGGCCTGGAAGCTGCTCTGGGTGAGTCAGTGAGTGAGTGGAGAGTGTGAAGGCTGGGACATTACGCACACTGCTGTAGATTTTACAAACGCCTTACACTTAGGCTATGCTAAATTTATAAAAAATATTTTTCTTCAATAATAAATTAACCTTGGGGGCCGGCCCTGTGGCATAGCGGTTAAGTTCACGTGCTCTGCTTCGGTGGGCCCAGGGTTCGCAGGTTTGGATCCCGGGTGTGGACCGATGCACCACTTGTCAGGCCATGCTGTGGCAGCATCTATGTAAAGTAGAGGAAGATGGGCATGGATGTTAGCCCAGGGCCAATCTTCCTCAGCAAAAAAGAGGAGGATTGGCAACGGATGTTAGCTCAGGGCTAAGCTGCCTCACAAAATAAATAAATAAACCTTAGCTTACTGTAACTTTTTTACTTTGTAACTTTAGAATTCTTTTTTTAACTTTTTGACTCTTATAATAACACTTAGCTTAAAACACAAATACACTGTACAGCTGTACAAAAATATTTTCTTGGGGCTGGCCCTGTGGCACAGTGGTTAAGTTCTCATGCTCCGCTTCAGCGGCCGGGGGTTTGTGGGTTGAGATCCCAGGTGTGGACCTACGCACCGCTTGTCAAGCCATTCTGTGGCGGCATTCCACATACAAAATAGAGGAAGGCTGGCACAGATGTTAGCTCAGGGACAATCTTCCTCAAGCAAAAAAAGGAAGATTGGCAACAGATGTTAGCTCAGGGACAATCTTCCTCACTGAAAAAAAATTTTTCTTTGTGTCCTTATTCTATAAGCTTTTTCTATTTTTAAAAATTTTAATTTTTTTTTTTTTACTTTTTAAACTTTTTTGTTAAAAACTAAGACACAAGCACGCACATTAGCCTAGGATTACATAGAGTTAGGATCATCAATATCACTGTCTTCCGCCTCCACGTCTTGTCCCACTGGAAGGTCTTCAGGGGCAATAATATGCATGGAACTGTCATCTCCTAGGATAACAATGCCTTCTTCTGGAATACCTCCTGAAGGACCTGCCTGAGGCTCTTCTTGAGGAGGTGTCATTCTTTTCAGAAATAAGTCCATGGTAGTTTGCTTCTTTTTTTCATCATAGATTTACTTGTAAGATTTACTTGTAAGATAATGCACCATGAACATTCCTCTCTATTAATGAAAACCTTTCAGTGTTGGAGTCCATGTTTTCAGAATGTTTAAGGAGCTTGTTGAGGTCTTCAAAAGCTTCCGCTAAACCCTTGACTGTGAATTTTTCTTGAAGGTTCTTCTCCGCAGTTTCCTCTCTTGCCCCTTCTTCAGCTATACGTTCCTGTTCTAGTTCCAAGAAGTCCTCATTAGTCAATTCCTCAGGAACCACCTCTAGGAGCTCCTCAATGTCATCCTCATCCACACACAGGTTCAAGTTGCTTGCCCTCTCAACCACAGCCTTGTTGATTTTTGCAACCTCCTCATCCTTGGCAAATCCTTTGAAGTTGTGAATGAATTGTATACGCAGTCCGTTGTTGACGAAAATGTGGTTATGCGTGACTGTATTTTTCTTTTGTTGCTAGTGCTTTTGGTGTCATATCTAAGAAACCATTGCCTAATCCAAAGTCATAAAGATTTACGCCTCTGTTTCCTTCTAAGAGATTTATAATTTTAGCCCTTAAATTGAGGTCTTTGATCCATTTGGAGTTAATTTTTGTATGTGGTGTGAGTTAAAAGTCTGTCTTCATTCTTTTGCATATGGAGATCCATTTGTCCCAGCACCCTTTGTTGAAAAGATTATTCTTTCCCTGTTGAAATTGTCTTATCACCTTTGTCGAAAATCAATTGCCTGTAAATGTGAAGGTTTGTTTCTGGACTCTCAGTTCTATTCCATTGATCTAAAGGTCTGTCCTAATGCCAGCCCCAGCTTTTCTTGCAGCATTTTACAAAGCCAGCTTTGACCTAGACTTTTAAAAATATCTTGTCCTGTACCACAAAATTGCATTTTAGAACGCTTTTAAATAGACCACAGCACATTTAAAAAATAATTTTAAAAATTCCTCCTAAGTTTGGCTCTGAAATGCTAAAGGCTTTACCCTGCGGCTGCAAGGCTTAAATCAAGCAACTTTAACAAAATTTCAAATCTGTCACGTATTTCTTCACATATAGTCATCATCTGTTCACGTTTTGTACCCTTTAATTAAGTGGTCACATTGATTCTCCAGATGCCTTCCTGCTTTTGATGTTTTTAAAACTTTTGTTCTTGCTCTTGGAACTCCCCAGAAGGAGCTCACCAAGTCATATTTTTGTCTGCTGAACTGATTGTTCTTAATCGGCCACATAGCTTGTTTTCTCGTTCTTTTCACTTAAGCAAGTGTTCTGTGTTTTCAAACAGGCCTTGATTCTTAAAATAACATCTTCTATTGTGCTATTTAGTTATGAAGGGTTTTTATTCAAGGACCTTGTCTGTTTTTTTTTTTTTTTTAAATCTAGAGCATGTAATTTTCCTAGATATAAAGTGTGTTTTAAAATAGTCTTCCCATCGCTTTTAGGATCTTAAATGTGTCTTTGAAATTTTTCTCCACAGGACTCTCCTTCTGGGTTCTAGAAACTGCCCCCCTCTGTCCTTACAGGCCTGGGAGTGGTAACAACACTGATGTTATCAGCTCTGGTTTGCACCACCCTCTGTGGTCTCCCCAGTCTTTGTAGATTGTCTCTCTGTTTAACTCTCCCTGAATCGTTCTAATTTGAGTGTGCCATTTGTTTTCTCTGGGGCCCTAACTGATGCAGTAATGCATAGAAATTTCTTAGTTTGTTAGAAAAAAGGAAGGGAAACTAACATTTATTAAACAATTTCTTCCAGGTACTCTTTGAGATACTCTTACGTTTCATTTAATTTTCCCCATTACCCTATGAGTTACTATCATAAGTGTTTCAAGAGAAGCAGTTGTGGTTCAGAGAGGTTAGGTAACCTATCTCAGGTCACTCAGCAACGAAGTGGCAGCACTGGAACTTAAATATATGAGTATGTGACTCAGTGCTCTAGACAATTGCTTGTCTGCCTTACTGGAAGGAAATGCATTCATTTTCCTAAGTGATACCAACTATAAAAGGGAAAAAACCCTTTAATGATTCCCAGTTACCGATAGGACAAAGTCTAAATTCTTAGCCTGCTTGCTGCTGATCGTTTATCATTCATTCGTTCATTCATTTATTCAACTAATATTTATTGAGTACCTACTGCGTGTCAGGCTCCATTTAAGTACGGGAGATATGGCAATGATCGAAAGAGACAAAACTCCCTAACCTCATGGAGTTTATATTCTAGAAGGGAGACAAACAGTAAACAAATAAGTAAAGTATATAGCTTATCAGATAGTGATAAATGTTTTGGAGAAAAATAAAGCAAGGAAAGGGATGAGGAGTATTGAGGGGTTTGTAATTTTAAGTAGAGGAGTTACAGGAAGGCCTCACAGAGCAGCAGACCTCTGAGGTAGGAGAGGGAGCCGTGGACATCTGGGGGGAGCGGTGGAGGCAGGTGGATAGCCAAGACTCTGAGGCAGGAGAGTGTCTGGCATATTTGAAGAATATAGTAAGGAGGCCAGTATGGCTGCAGTTGAGCAAGGGAGAAAGTGGTAAAAGATATGGTCAGAGAGGTGGTGGGGGGTAGATTAGGTAGGGCCTTGAGGTCACCTAAGGACTTTTCTTCTGATAGAGGCTGAACCATCCGAGAGCCCTGAGCAGAAGAGCCACATTTCAACAGTCCACCAAGGCTGCTGTGTCGAGAACAGATGGCAGGAGGAGAGGCAGGGACGGGGACAGCCATTTGTATCTGACCCTTGGCCTCCTTCTCCTGATGTTCCCATATTTGCTAACTGCTCCACAAACCTGCTGTACTCTTCGTCACCTCCAACTTTTTTGTGTGTATAAGGAAGATTAGCCTTGGGCTAACATCCGTGCCCATCTCCCTCTGCTTTATATGTAGGACGCCTGCCACAGCATGGCTTGATAAGCAGTGCTTAGGTCAGAGTCTGGATCCGAACCTGTGAACCCTGGGCCAGCAAAGCAGAGCGTGTAAACTTAACCACTATGCCACCGAGCTGGCTCCCTGTCACTTCCAACTTTGCTCATATTCACTCTCCTCTTCACCCATCTAGGTCCTATCCGTTCTTCCAACCCCAAAGCAAATCTCCTTGCTTCTTTGAGAGGACTAAGAAAGTGCTCTGGGAAGCCAGAGGACGAGGTTATCAGCTCTGAAAAGAGTGCCCCAATTTGCTGATAGTGAGGATGGGAAAACATGTCCAGAGGAAAACTTCCCAAGGCCGCGTGGAGAATACGGATGTTATAGAACAGACAAGATAGTCTCCTTCCGCTCTATACAGTTCATACAGCAGCCCCAGAAACCTGTTTGCAGCCATCGACTGAATTAATATGAATGTTGCATTTCTAACTTTGGCTTATTCTATTGCTTTTTTTTTTGAACCTCTCTCTCTTTTTAAACAGGATCTTCAACAGGAAGGCAGAGACGCACTGGCTCGTTTTGTCTTCGTTTTCTTTGGAGGAGTTCACGTGTTGCTGCACTTCCTCTGGGACAACCATTTGATGTAGAAGGAATATAAACGTCAAGTTCTGCTTTCCTTCTACCCTCTGAGAAAATGTGAATCCCACAGGCACAGATGGGATGAAGACCCTTCGCCATCCCCCTTTCTTGTTATCCATCACTGTTGGTTTTTGCCTGGTTTGTTGGAGAACTGTGGACTCACTGGCCATTTGTCTGTTCAGACCAAGCAGCTCTGAGATGTCTGTGTGTGCCTCATGGTAGAGGCCAGGGAGTCCTTAGGAACCCAGGGGGGCTCGCCACTCAGGAAACACCAGCGCTGTGGATGGTCCCAGCGCTCCTTGTGAGGACACCTTGAACATTTCCTTCCATGAGAGAAATTGAACCTTGTCCTCAAACAGGCGGTCACAGAAATGGGCGCTTGCTCCCAGGTCTCTTCCTGTGGACCAGGCTCTCCAGTAACCTGTTGGCCCCCTCTTGTTGCCCAGGTCCAAATCTGCAGTGCCTGGTCTTCTCCTTCACCTTTCTGTCTACCTCGTAGTCCCTGTCTCCCGGCTTTTAGAAGTATTACAAGTATTAAGAGAGTTTGTTGTTATAAATTATGTTTCATATATGCATTCTGGTTTCTTTGTAGGAAAAGTGTTATTTAAAAAGTTAATAACTTAAAAAATGAAATAAATGTTATTTTATTGAGCATGAAACACCCGTGCATATTTCTTTTGTGAAGGAGGGATTTCGTTTATTCCTGCTCTTATGGGTTCATCATTTTGTAGACTTTGATCATATGTTGCATGCCCTTTGTCCTTCCCAAGGGAGATGTCCCCGTTTTTTTACTCTGTCTCAGGCAATGCCTATTTATTTCCATCATCACCTAGGTTTTGGCTTGCTGGCATGGAACAGGTCCTAAAACTTCCTTCTTATTTATTTATTTAATTCTTTTGAATAGGTATTTATTCATATGGTTCAAAAATCAAAACAATATAAAAAGGTTTACAGTGAAAACCCTTGCTCTTATTTTCTACCCTGAATCCTAATTATGTTTATTAGTTTGTTATGTATCCTTCCAGAATTTCTTTACAAATACCAGTTAAAAAAATATATACATATATTTCCACACAAAAGGTGTCATGTAATACAAACTGTTCTGTACCTTGATTTTTTTGCTTAGCATGGTGGTTAGGCACTGTTCTAGGTATCTTATAAATGTTAATTCATTTACTCTTCATAACAACCTTTTGAGACAGGTATTGTTATTAGCTCTATTTTGTGGTTAAGGAGACAGAGATAATAGCTAGTAGAGAGGGGCAGTAGAGAGGTTAACTAACTTGCTCAAGGGCACACAGCCAGTAAGTGACATAGCTGGTATTCCCAGCCAGGCTGCCTGTCCTCAGAGTCCAGGTCCCTAACTGCTATGCTGTACTGCCCCTTGGAGAGCGTGCCATGGTCCTCAGAGAGCTCATGGTCAGATGCTGCACAGCGTTCTGCTAAACAAATGTACCATAATTTATTTCATCATGCCCCTTTTAATGGATGCCTGGGTTGTTTCTAATCATTTGGCATTATGAGCCATGCTGAAATAAATAGCCATGTACATTTTGAATAGGTACAGGTATATTTGTTGAATAAATTTCCATGGGATTGCTGGGTGAAGGGTGCATGTCATCCGTTAGTTTGCTAGATCCTGCCATACTGCCCTCCATGGATTGTACCACTTTATACATCCAGTGAAGCCTGTTCTTCGCAGCCTCTCCAGCAGATTATGTTATTAAAATTTTGAATTTTTGACAAATTAATGGGTAAAAAGTGATATCAATAATTAATTTGCACATCTTTTATAGTGAGTGAGTCTGAGCATCCTTTTCTATGTTCAGGGGCCATTTGGCTTTTTGTTTCATGTGGACTGTCTATTTATATCCTTTGCTCATTTTTCTATTGGGTTTTTGGCTTGTTCTTACTGGTTTCTAGGAGCTCATGAAATATCAGTGCTAAGCCTTCTTTATAACAGCATCTACACCCTCAGATTTTTGGCAGGTTATTAAGGCTTCTTCCCTCCTTTTCTTTGGCAGGTGGTGGGTTTGCTTTAGTGCTTACAACCTCTCTCGGCTTCCCCTCAAGGCAGGGGGAGTTGAGGCAGGTGCACATGGGTGGTGGGCAGATGGGCGCCACACCTGGCACAGCCAGAGGCCTGGGGAAAGGTGCCAGTGGGGAGCCACTGAGTACTCAGGTCTAGGTCAGGAGGAGCACCACAGGCGCTCTGACGGTGGCGCTGGACCCAGGGCGGTGGGGCCTCCGGTGGGGCAAACGCCAAATGGCAGGCAGCGGCCGGGTTGGGCTAGGAAGGTCACTCACCTCCTAAGCGGAGAGGCACCTGGTCCAGGCAGACAGCATGGGAAGCCCCCTCTCATCCATCTGCGCGATGCACAAGGGTGACATGAAGTTGGTCTGTCGCTGCCTGGAGCGCAGGACCAGGGGTTCCCTCGGCTCCCCAGTTTCCTCAGAACCCCTCCTCCGTCCCCCTGGGAGCCAGGGCCAGGCTCCCCGAGGGGCTGTCCACCGGCGGAAGGATGCTAGCAAGACTAACGCCTCCCTGTCGGCGAGGGGACAGAGCCCTGGGGCTCTGCGCCCGCGGGGGCCAGCCCCTGCCCTCCCCCGAGCCCGCCGGGGCCGTAGGGGAAGCGGATCCCGCTCTTTCGTTTTCGTTTCCCGGAAGGATAGCGATTACCGGAGAGCCCTGCGCGCCTGCTCGCCCCGGGAACCCAAGCGCAGGCTACGCCGCGCTTCTCGAAAGAATTTCCTCCCACGCGACCTTTCAGTGTTCGGGGCCAAGTTAGGGGTTTGGGGAAGGAGCGCCTGAGAGCGCCAGCCTAGGGCCCAGCAGCCGCAGCCAGTGGAGCGCTCACGACGGACGGCCGAGTGGCTCCCTCGCCTCCACCTGTAATGCAGGTAAGAGCCCGATGGCCGAACCAGGCAGCGCGCACGCGGAGCCACCTGCTCCCCATCCCTTCTCCACCACCTCAAATTCCATACCCATTTTATCAGATCTTTTCCCTGGCTGGAATCTTACTTTCCAACGCGTTCCCAACCTCACCATCCATCCTTCACCGCCCCTCGCGCTCCTCCACCTCACTCACCTCCAGTCTTTCCCTCTCTCTTTGAAACCCTCTGTGTTACGTACTGCTCCTCCTACCCCCTCCTCATCCCTACAGCAACCAGATGTGAAGCCCCTACACAAGCCAGACCCTCACAGCTGGCAAACGCCACCACGCAGGCTTCCCCTCCTCAGCAGTGCCCCCCCCCCCCCCCGATTTGTCATGTTCCCCTAGGAGCCTCAGAACTGCCCCCAGAATTGGGCCCCCTTCCCACCTCCAGCCTTTCTCCACTCCCGCCTCTCTAAGATCCACATTCACATCCTAATTTTATCAGACCTCTCCCTGGCCTTCGTACTGAAACCCAGAGCTCTAACCCTCAGCACCTCCCTGGCTGGAGTTTTCCAGGCAGTGGCAGCCCCGGAATTCCCCGTTCCTCATGCTTGGAAGAGGATGGAGGCGCAGACAGGGAGCTTCCTGCAAGTCCTAGGCCTTGAGCCCCTTCTCTAGCTTGGCAAACCCCCACTGCCCGGTGGCAGCCTCTGATGCTGGGTTACCTGGGAGACAGCACCAACTGAGGCAGGGGGGCAGGGGGCAGGGGAGCCGGGCGCTGGCCAGAAATGCAGTGAGAACTACCCCGATAGGGAGTACCTCTTCTGCAGTGGCCAAGGCTTCTGGAGTTTGCTGTGCTGGCTCCAGATCCACAGTCTTTCTGCAGATGGCCCTCCTCAGACACCAAGAGATGACCATAATGCTCTTGAAGATCCTAGAGTGAGAAAGTGCCCCTTGCTGGGACTGGTTTCACTTTTACTTTTCACGATGTGACAGCCTATGGCTGGGCATGAGCCCCAAGGATCCCCCTGTTTGTACAAAATCCTGTCACTCTTTTCATCCCCTCCTCCTGATGGATGAGCCACATCCCCTCTGGGGGCTGGGCTGCTTCTAAAATCGTAAAGATACAGACTTCCCTTGGTGGGATCTTGGTATTCAGAAATTTATCTTTTCTTTTTCTCTTTTGAAAATAGTGTTTACTTGTTTGTTTATTTCTGATTGAAGGTCTTTTTATCCTGGCCCCTCAGGTTCCCTGTGTCCTCTTACCAAGGTTCCAGTGAGTCCCAGGCCCTCAGATTTCCAGCCTACAAGTCAAGAATGGCAGGGGAGCCCTCTGGTGGGGTTAGGCACATGCATGAAAAGCTTGAATTGGAAAGATGTAATTTATCAAGTGTCCACTCTGTACAGGATGTTGATAGTCCCAAGCCGAAGACATATGTGGTTCCTACCTTTAAGGTAGATGCAGAGATGGATGCTCTTTCCCTTTGAAAAAAAACTCTTGATACATTTAAGGATGGCCGAGCCTTCACCAAGATGCTCGTCTTTGACTGCCCTGGCTTTTCCTCTCTCTAGGAGGGAGCACTGGCCAGTTCTCCTGTGAGCCCCGAGGCAGCCACACCGTCCCCAGGCACCCAGGCCCAAGCCAGATGTGCCTCTCGAGTGAACCTGCTGGGCGAGGGGGGAATCTGCAAGCTGCCAGGAAGACTCCGTGAGTAGAGGGGAGGAGAAAGGCAGATGTTTTTAAAGGACATAAATGTGATGTATAAACCTCTTGATCTAAGGAATTGCCTTCCCTCCATTTGCTATTTCTTTGCTAGATTTTCTTTAACTTTGCCTTGGTGAGGAAGTCAGAGGCGGTAAATGTGAATTCTCCCTGTGGGGAGTAAAGCTGATACGGCCATGCGTGAGGGTGGGCAGTCTCCTCATTGGTTGGAGGAGGGTTAAGATGGATGAGCTATTGGGTCCCTTCCAGCCTAAAAACAAAGAATTGGAGACGTTGCCAGTGAGGAAGCTGGACGGGGCTAAACAGTGAACAATTGTGTGTACGTAGAGCCCTCTTTTAAATAATTATGTTTAACTTTTATTGTTATAAAAGTAACATATGCCTATTGTCAAAAATTGAGAAATGGCGGAGAAGCATGAGAAGAATATATAGAACGATCAAATCCACCCAGAGATAACCATGGGAAACGTATTGGCCATATTGTTTCATTTTATTTCCCTAAGTAATGCTCCTGCCCGAGGAAACTCATCACCATGGAGCAGGTTGTAGATTAATGTATTTAAGCCTGTTTCAAATGGCAAAGCTGAGAGGTGGAAAAGCTAAATGACACGCTCCAGATCACACAGGCTTTCCATGCTAAGGCCAAACCTTGGTCCTGCTGATAATCTTCTAAGAGGTGTTTAAATGCACTTCCTAAGCCATGGAAATCATAGGCTAGGCGGCTAGCTGACTGCCGGTGGGATCTTTAATCTGGGTCGGGATCTTGGGGCAGGCACATCTTACCTGGGTTGTAAAGCATCCAGGCCACTTCCTGCTCTGCTGGCCCGGTGGCTGGAACACTGCTTTATTGATTTCAAATCCTTCCGATTTTCTGGCCACAGCCTGCTTTTTGAGCCATCAACAGGATTGAGCAGACTGTGGGGTATGACTTCACAGCCCTTGGGAAGAGCTTGTTGCCCCCAAATACTTCTGCCGTCCACTCCCTGGCATTCTTTTAACGGGGAACAGAGCCTGTCTTTTCACTGTTAGAAGGAAGGCGGGGACTCAACGGACACAAGAGATCCCCAGCGGCAGTGCGATTTGGGGAGGGGATGGGGAGCTCTGTAAGGAATCTCTGTTGCCTCGTTTCGTCCAGATGCCAACCCTGACCGGTAGCTTGGGGCTCAGGGCTGCTCCAGGAGGTGTTTGGCAACAGTCACACAGAGAGTAGGATTTGGGCTCCATTCCCAGCCCAAGCCGTGGTGATGAGGAAAAACAGGACTTTGAGGTGGACCTGAGGCCCTGAATGTTGCTGCTGAGAAGGATCTTACAGGTCATCTAATCAGTCCCCTCAGGGCAGCTCAGGACATGGAGCCTCAGAGGGGGAGAGGCTTCTCTGCAGGGCGCTCTGGATTATTCCCTCTTGCCTCCCCCCACCCCGTATTCAAAGACCACTCCCACAATCGGCTTGCCCTGGTAGAGACCCTAGATGTCACGTCAGGTAACTCCCTTGTATCCCAAATAAGGAGATGGAGGCCCAGGAGGTTGTGTTCTGCCCAAGGTCATGTAACCTTCAGTCCTGTCCCTTCCCCCTGGGAACCTAGCTCAAGGTTACTGGGTGAGAGGGTACGGGAAGAGCAGTGGGGATTTAGGAAGTTCAGTCACCACCCTGGTAAAGACAATGATGCAAGCCTTTTAATTTTTTGAATCCCCCATCAGTGGGGCCCCTCTGAGATAGTCACCAAGTCTTCCCGCACATTTCCAGTGATGGGAATTTCCTCCCCTCTTGAGCCAGCCTGTTCCCTGCTTACTCAGCTCAGGATGCAGGGTCATTGTGACCTATTTAGAGCTCCTGAAGTACTAGTCCTATTGCCTTGGGTTAGAATTTTCCAGAAGTAGACTCTGAAACACTCCCCCACAGAGGAGAGAAGGAAAGCCAAGAGTGTTCTCTCGGGCCAGGTGGCACTGTGGGCAGCTGGAGCTCAGTCCCAATGGGGACCTTGGGGGCCAGTGAGAGCATACCCTGAGTTATCCCAGCCCGGGGGAAGGCAGCTGGTCTTCATCTACCCACTTCCCATGCACGATGGGATGAGGGTTGCCACCAGGGTCGTCGACTCCCAGCTTTCCCAGGCGCCCTGGACACTGGCTGAGTCAGCGCAGTCAGGTGCCAGCGTTTGGCATTTGCCGCCTTCAGAGGGTAGAGGTGAGAGCAAGGGCCATGGGCGGGGCGCCAACAGAGTCTTCTGTCCTTCTCGTCTTAGATTCCATGACTCATATTTACTTCTGAAAAAATTCAGACAACACAGTTCTTGCCCTTGGTAAATATCTAACAGTCTTAAAAGATAGGGCACATTAAATGACTCATTTTCCTGTAAACAACATCCTCAATAAGCAAACTGCTGACACCCAATGAGGGTTTGACCTTTCAGATGGCTGGGATGATGTCAGCCTGCTTCTCACATTTCTGGAAATTGGGTTTCCATCGCTGGGCATCTTTCTGACATTTATTCCCAGTCGCCCACCCCATTCCCTCCTCCACCTCCAGCTTCCATTCTAGTCATCAGGGCTGATTTGCCTCTGCGGGAAGGTGAACAGACAAAACCAATCTTGCTTGGCTTTGTGAGTCGGCGCCACATGGAGCACATAAGCCATTTCCCGCCAGAGCTCACTTTGCCATGTTTGCCTGAAATAACAAAGATGTGCAGTCAAGCAGTGGAAAGTCCACTCTAAGGACGATTGCAATGTCTAGTGACAGATGGTGGGCTGGGATGGAGGGGTGGGATCCACGGGGGCTCCAGCAGAGTGCCCGCCACTCAGAAAAGGAGATTCACAGCCATGCTTCTCTCTGTGCAAGTGGACAGGGAAAGAGGATTCGCACCTCCCCTCCCCGGGTCTGCATCCATGACGGTCTGCCCAGGCTGGGGTGAGGCAGGGCAGTGCAGGCCATAGGACCACTTGCAGGACCCAGCCTGAGGTCACAGGGAGGAGGTGATGCTCAAGGGACAACTCAGGGGATTTTAAGAGGGGGCACTTTAGAGATGGTCACAGGCACAGCCTCATTCGATGACAGAGAACAAGAGTCATCTGTGGTGCTAATGGCCAGGCAGGGCCTCACACCCAGGTCCTAAGTCTCTCCATTTTCCAGGAGCTTATTCCTGGAAAAAAGCTCCATGAACTTCCCACTGCTGGGTGTAGGGGGATTGAGACATCTCGGTGTTTTGAAACTGACTTTCAGAGCTCCTGGCTGTGACTAGGCCACAGGAGGAGATGTCCAGTGCCACCTCTGATTTTCAGATGTCACGGGCAGAGGGGTGGCACCCCTCTGCAGCTCCCTGGCAGTGTACAACAAGAGAAAAGGGCCCTTGGGGAGCACCAGCAGATCTTTCATGCCCCTGCTCGGGTTCACATCCTTCACAGATGAGAGAGTCCTCGGCACTTATTTTAGTACTAGATACAACTCTCACAAGTGTGGCCTCCGGGTATCCCAGACCAGAGCGTCTCAAGTTTTCCTGTGCACGTGAGTCTCCTGGGAGCCTTGTGGAAATGCAGACTCTGATGCTGCAGGTCTGCAGTGGGGCCTGAGATTCCGCATCTCTCATAAACTCCTGTGCCGTGCGGCTGCTGCTGGAAGTGCGTTCAAGGACCTCATTTTATGCAGCTAAGTCCTGATAGTGATTTTCAAAGTGTTGGTCAAGACTCACTAAGGAGGTGGAATCAGTTTAGGAGTCAAGATAAGTACTGTTAAAAAATGAAATAGAGGGGCCGCGCCGGGGGCATAGCGGTTAAGTGCGCACGCTCCGCTGCAGGTTCAGATCCCGGGCGCGCACCGATGCACCGCTTATCAAGCCGTGCTGTGGCGGCGTCCCGTATAAAGTAGAGGACGATGGGCACGGATGTTAGCCCAGGGCCAGTCTTCCTCTGCAAAAAGAGGAGGGTTGGCATTGGATGTTAGCTCAGGGCTAATCTTCCTCACATACACACACACACACAAAATCATAATGAAATAGAACATATCAAAGTACATCATAAATAATAAAGGTAGCTGTGATTTCATGAATACTTTGATTTGGCTATTTATATCTATATGCATGTGTGGGTCATGGTATAAAATGTATTTTTTACTGTGGGTTGAGTCAGAATGGTTTGAGACAAACATGAAATTGAAATATAATGATGTACACTTAAAATTTATATAATGTTACAAACCAATGTTACCTCAAAAAAAAGAATGTTTTGAGAAACGCTGCCCTAGATCCTGGCATATTGGAAGCAGGAAGTCAGATGGATGCAGGTGGAAAGAGAGAGGCAGTGGAGCGGGGAGGATGGAGGCTAGAAACGAAGCTGTGACTATTGGCAGTGGTGTCCTCACCTGACTGTGAAAGTGAACATGGCAGACGACAAACCGATCAAAGATTCCCCAAACCAACAATTGAGGACAAAGAGCCTCCCTGTCCCTAAGCTGACTCCTTCTTTGGGAAGAAGTCAGGTCAAACCCAGCCAGGGCCTGACTTGGCCACACCCCCACCCTTCTATTCCTCCCCCAGACGGTGCCTTTGTGCAAGACACAACACAACTGTGTGCACTGGCCCTGCCCCCACAGTCAGGTGCCGACCCTAAGGCCGAGTGTCATTACCAAGATTGAAGCAATATTGGCCAAGACAGCCAGGGCAAGCAATGGGTGATGGATTTGAGGGGACTCTGGACAGTGACACACAATCAACTAAGGACAATGGTAATTGCTAAACCGCAGTCGTCATGGCAGAGAAACAAGCTAGTCCCTCTTTTTTCAGGCAGCTCGACCAGTGAAGATGCTGATAATCACAATAAAGGCCATTTCTTGGGTTTTTACTCAGCCATTGTGCTGGGCGTCTGTGTACACTGTCTGATTAAATACACTCAAACAGGCCTGGAAAGTAGATTCTTTTATTATCCCCACCTTACAGATGTGAAAACTGGCCTTAGAGTGAGGTGAATTATCTTGTCCATAGTCGCTCACCAGTGAAATG